TCATCAAGGAACATGTATAAAGGACCCAAGGACCAAGACAATGAGGGGAAGGATTGAATATCAGAGGTAAGGGTGGGTAGGGAGGGGGAGGGTAATGGGGGAAACTGGGGACAACTGTAATTGAACAACAATAACATTTTAAAAATCGACTGTAAATGTGTTTATTTCTGTACTCTCAATTCAATTCAGTTTTATACCTATTTGAACCCAGTACCACATAGTCCTCATTACTGTAACAATGTAGTAAATCATTAAATCAGACTGTGATTTCACAAAATATTACCTTTCACATGGTAGTTTGGCTGTGTTCATTAAAATGTTTTATGAATTTCAGGATCAGGTGGTCAATTTATCAGTATGCAGCAGGAATTTTGACAGAAATTATGTTAAATCTATATATCAGTTTGAGAGTATTAACATCCTTAAAATTTAAGTGCTCATATTCATGAACATAGAGTGTACTTAGATTTATTTATGTCCATAAAATTTTTTTCAAAGACATTTTTGAGTTTTAAATGTACAGGTTTTATACTTCTTTTCTTAAATTTATTTCTAATATTTTGTCATTGTAAGTTTATTATAATGTCATTTTCCTGTCATTTATGCTTATGTTAATAAATACAATTCTATACATTGTATTTATTTTAATTTATTTTATTTTATGATTATTTACTTATTTTTAATCATTTTAATTTGTTATTGTTCAAATACTTTTGTCTCCATGCTACCACCACCACTTTCCTCTACCCCACTTCCCCCCTCAATCCTTCCCCACTTTGGCTTTGTCCATGGGTCCTTTATAAATACTCTTTGACTTAACTCTTCCCTTCCCTTTCCCCACCCCCAACTCCCTCCTTCCCTATTGATTACCTTGGTTTCTTTTTTCTTTCAATGGTACTGGTTATATTTTCCTTGCTTGTATGTTTTGTCGGTTAGATTCCACTTATAGATGACATCATATGATATTTGTCTTTTGCTCCCTGGTTTATTTCATTTAGCATAATATTCTCCAATTCCATTCATGCTGTCATGAAGGGTAGTACCTCTTTCTTTCTTTCTGATGCATAGTATTCCACTGTGTAAATGTACCATAGTTTTTTCATCCACTCATTTACTGACAGACACATATGTTTCTTCCAGCACTTGGCTATTGTCAATTGTACTGAAATGAACATTGGAGTGCATACGTTCTTTTGAATTGTTGTTTTGGGATTCTTAGGGTATAATCCCAACAGTGGAACCACTGGATCAAAAGGCAGTTCCATGTTTAGTTTTTTGAGGAAATTCCAAACTGTTTTCCACAAGGACTGCACCACTGTGCATTCCCAACAATGTACTAGGGTTCCCTTTTCTCCACAACCTCACCAACACCCATTGTCTGTTCATCTGTTTATAATGGCCATTCTGACTGGTGTGACGTGCTATCTCATTGAGGTTTTAATTTGCATTTCTCTGATGGCTAGTGATGCTGAGCATCCTTTCATATGTCTCTGGGCCCTCTGTATCTCTTGGAGAAGTGTCTCTCCACATCCTTTGTCAATATTTAATTGGATTGTTTGTCTTCTTGGGGTGGAGTTGTGTGAGTTCTCTATATATTTTGGAAATCAAACCCTTATCTGAAGTATCATTGACAAGTATATTTTCCATTACAAGTTTGATCCCTATTCATTTTGCTGATGTTTTCTTTAGCCATGCAGAAACTTCCTATTTTAATGAGGTCCGACTTGTATATTCTTTCCTTTATGCCCCTTGCTTTAGGGGACATATTGGTGAAAATATTGCTGTGTGAGATATCTGAGAGTTTCCTGCCTGTGTTTTCCTCTAGGACTTTTATGGTGTTACAAATTACATTTAAGTGTTTTATCCATCTTGAGTTTATATTTATGTATGGTGTCAGTTGGCTCTCCCAACACAATTTGTTGAAGAGGCTATTTTTACTCCAATTTATGCTTCTACACCTTAGTCAAAGATTAACTGACCATAGAGGCATAAGTTTATTTCTGGGGTTTCTATTCAGTTCCACTGATCTCTGTGTCTGTTCTTGTCTCAGTACCAGATTGTTTTGATTACACTGGCCTTGTAGTAGTTTTATATCCGGTATTGTGGTCACTGCTGGGGTTGTTTATGATTCCATATACATTTTTTAAATATCTCTTCTTGTCTTGTCATTGTACCAATGATGTCTTTGAAATACATCATTGGTATTTTAATAGAGATTTCAATGAATCTATAAATTGCTTTGGGTAGTATGACCGTTTAGATGATGTTAATTCTTCCAGTCCATGAACACGGTATATGCTTCCATTTTTTTGTGTCTTCCTTAATTTCTTTCTTCAGTGTTGTATAGTTTTCTGCATACAGGTTTTTTTGTTTTTTTTGTTTTTTTTTTACCACTTAGGTAACTTTATTTTTCCTGTTGCTATAGCAAAGAGGATGTTTTTTCCTGATTTCTGCTTCTTATATTTTATTTCTGGTGCTCAAAAATGTCTTCAATTTCTGAATAGTGTCTTTGCATCCTGCTCTTTTGCCAAATTGACTTATTAGGTTGAGTAGTTTTTGGTGGAGTATAGAGGGTTTTCTATGTACACTATCATGTCATCTGCAAAAAATTATAGTTTAACTTTTTCCTTTCCAATTTGGATGTCTTTTATTTCTTTTTCTTGTCTGGCCACTGTGGCTTAGACTTCCAATGCTATGTTGATTAGAAGTGGTGAAAACGGACATCCTTGTCTTGTTCCCGATCTTAGTGGAAAATGTTTTACTTGTTTCCCATCGAGTATGATGTTGGCTGTAGGTTTTTCATATATGGCCTTTATTATGTTGAGGTATGTCCCCTTTATTCCCATTTTGCTGAATGATTTATCATACATGGGTGCTGTAACTTATCAAATGATTTTTCCACATATGTTGATATAATTACGTCATTTTTGTCTTTTTTTTTTAATGTGATGTATTATGTTTACTGATTTGTGAATACTGAACCATCCTTGCAACCCTAGGATGAATCCCATTTGATCATGGTGGATGAACTTTTGAATGTATTGATGGATGTGGTTTGCCAATATTTTGTTGAGGATTTTAGCATCTATGTTCATCAGCAATATTGGCCTATAGTTTTCTTTCTTTGCTGTGTCTTTATCTGGTTTAGGGAATAGGAAGATTCTGGCCCCATTCAATGAGTTTGGTAGTGTTCCGTCTTCTTTGATTTTTTGAAACTGTTTGAGAAGGACAGGAGTTAGCTCTTCCTTAAATGTTTTGCAAAATTCTCCAGTGAAACCCTCCTTTCCAGAGCTTTTGTGTGTCAGGAGTTTTTTGATTACTACTTTGATTTCACCATCTGTTATCAGTTTGTTCAGGCTTTCTGTCTGTTCTTCATTCAGTGTTGGAATGTTATACTGTATTAGAAATTTTTCCATTTCATAGAGGTTTTCAATTTTTGGCATATAATTGCTCATAATTTCTTACTAACCTTTGGTATCAGTTTCTGTGGTATCCAGTTTTTTTTCTCTCTCTTTCTATTCTGATATTATTTATTTGGGTCCTTTCCCTTTTTTTCTTGATGAATCTGCTTAAAGGCTTATCGATTTTTTAAATATTTTCAAAGAATCAGCTCCTGGAGTGGTTGATCCTTTGAATTGTTCTTTTTCTCTCTATGTCATTCAGTTCTGCTCTGATCTTGATTATTTCCTTCCTTCAACTTGCTCTGGGATTTGCTTCTTGTTGTTTCTCCAGTTCTTGAAGTTGTAATGTTAGGTCATTTATTTGAAATGTTTCTATCTTTTTTAGGTAAGCCTGTGTTGCTCTGAACTTCCCTCTCAGAACTGCCTTCACTGTGTCCCATAGGTTTTGGACTGCTGTGTGTTCTTTTTCATTTGTTTCCAGAAACTTTTTGATTTATTCTTTGATCTCATTCTTGACCCATTCATTCTTTAATAGCCTACTATTCAGTCTCCCTGAGTTTGAATGTTTTTGAGTTCTTTTCCTTGAGATTGGTTTCTAGTTTCAAGCCTTTGTGGTCAGAGAAAGTGCTTGTTATTATTTCAATGTTCCTGAATTTGTTGAGGCTTGTTTTGTGGCCTATCATGTGGTCTATCTTTAAAAGTTTTCTGTGTGCATTTGAAAAGAATATGTATTTTGCTTCTTTGGTATGTAAGGTTCTATATATATATATATATATATATATATATATATATATATATATATATATATATCTGTAAATCCATTTGATCTATTGCATCATTCAATTCCACAATATCTTTGTTTATCTTTTGTTTAGAAAACATATACAATTTTTACATAGGGATGATAAAACCCCCTACAATCAGTGTATTGCTGTCTATGTCTTTCTTGAAGTCCTCTATGATTTTCCTTATACTTTTGGGTACTCCTCTGTTGGGTGAATATATGTTTACTATGTTTATGTCTTGATATATTCTTCCTTTGAGTATTAGCAGTGTCCTTCTGGATCTCTTTTTATGGACTTTGCTTTGAAATCTATTTTGTCTGATATAAGTATTGCTACCACTGCTTTTTTTCCCTGTCCATTTGCTTGGAATATTTTTTTTCCCATCCTTTTACTATCAGTCTGTGTAGGTCCTTTGTTCTGAGGTGGGTCTTTTGTAGACAGCATAAGTGTGGGTCATGTTTTCTAACCCATTCACCTATCATGTGCCTATTGATTGATGCATTTAGTTTATTTTCATTTAAATTTATTATGGACAGGTATTTATTAATTTTTCCCCTTTGTACCTTTGTTCTTTTCTTTATAACTCTTTTTCTTCATCCTCTTAAACCTGTCCTGTTAGCATATCTTGGAGTGCTGGTTTGGTGGAGGTGTATTCTTTTAGCCTTCTTTTGTCTGGGAAACTCCTTATTTCATGTTCCATTTTTAATTGAAAGCCTTGCTGTGTAGAGCAGCCTTGGTTGTAGGTCTTTGCTTTCCATGATGTGGAATCATTCTTGCCATTCCATTCAGGCTTGTAGTGTTTCTGTTGAGAAGTAAAAATATGGAATGCTTCATGAATTTGCATATCATCCTTGCACAACGGCCCTGCTAATCTTCTCTCTGTCATTCCAATTTTAGTGTATGTGCTGCTGAAACACGTTCATGTTTTTACATGTTATCTATCTAAAGATAAACTTGATTTATTTTTCTTACCTAATTGTTCTACCTAGATAGATCTGCAAGTACAATGTTGAAATTATGTACCAAAAGTGAATATCCTTTTTTCTTGAACTTATGGAGAAGGCATTCAGTCTTTCACAACTGAGAATGATGTTAACTCTGGGCTTTTTGAGATGTCCTTTATCAATTTAAGGAAGTTCCCTTCTGTTCATAGTCTCCTAGTTTGTTCAATTCTTTTTAATCATAAAAGTTTGTTGTATTTTGTTAAATGCCTTTTCTTCATCGATTGACATAAGTGGGGTTTGTCCTTTATTCTCTTAATATGGTATAATGCATTACATTTGTTTATTTTCAAATGTGGTATCAACTTTTCATTCAGAAGAAAAATCTTTCTTCGTCCTGCTGTGTAATCATTTTTCCATGTTGATGAATTATATTTTCTTGTAACTTGTTGAAGATTCTTGTATATATATATACATTAAAGATATTGGCCTATAATTTTCTTTTGATGTCTTTGTCACATTTGGCAATTTTTGAAATGGTTTGAAGAAGACTTTGATTTTTATTAACAATTGATGATATTCTCAGTAAAACCATCTATTTCTACACTTTTTTTTGTTGTAAGTTTTAAATTGCTAATCTAATATCTCTAATTGTTATAGGTCTACTCAGATTTTCTTTTATCTCTTAATTTAGTTATGGTAATTTGTGTGTTTCTAGGAATTTGTTTATTTTATCTAGGTTATATAATATATTGTTATAATTTTTTCATAGTTTTTACTGTTTTGTTGTTTGCTAGCCTTTTGAAAAATCAACTTTTGTTTTATATATTTTTTCTATTCTGTCTATATTTTATTTCTATTGTAACTTTTATCATTTTCTTACATCTGCTTGATGTGTGTATACTTTTCTCTTTTAATATCATAAATTAGAATATTGCTATTAATTTTAGATATCTGTTGTTTTTAAATATGTGTATTTACAAATACAAATATTCCTCTTAGCAGTGCCCTTTGCTGCATCCAATACACTTTTTGTACACAGTGATCCTGTTTTATTTATTTGAAAATATTTTGTAGTTTACTTTGTGATTTGATCTTTGTCTCATGAGTTACTTAAGATTGTGTTCTTAAATTTCACACATTGGTGAATTTACTGAATTTCTTTGTTATCCATTTCTAATTTTATTTATTTGTGGTTAAAAAACATAATTTTTATGATCTCCCTTCTTTTAAATCTATTGAAATTTGCTTTATAGCCTAACATTTAGTCAGTCATGGAGACTATTCTATGTACACTTGATAATAACACCTGCGTGCCTTCTGTTGTTGTTATGTGGACTGTAAATAGGTCTAGTTGGTTATAGAGTCATTCAAATATCTCACTTCCTTGTTGATCTACCTAGTTGTTTTAATTATTATTAAAAAGAGGGGAACAAATGGTAATGAAAAAATACAATAGTAATTAAATTTAAAAATAGAGTATTAAAACTTTAAAATATTCTTCATGAATTTTTCATTTGTACCTTCAATTATGTAATTTTTGGCCTGTTTAGTATGGTACATAGATATTTATATTAGAAGTAGTGAAAACAGATATTCTTGTCTTGTTCCTGAACTTAGTGGGAGAGCTTTAACTTTTAGCCCATTGAATAGATGTTGGTTGTGCGTTTTTCATATATTACCTTTATTTTAATGAAGAATGCCCCCTTTAGTCCCAGTTTTCTGAGTGGTTTTATCATCAATGTATACTGTACCTTATCAAATGCTTTTTCCACATCTATTCATATGTGCATGTGATTTATGTTTTTCCTGTTGTTTATGCAATGTATTACCTGTTATGATTTGCGAATATGAATCATACTTGCATCTCTGGGATGAATCCCACTTGATCTAGAAGGAGGATCTTTTTAATCTATTGCTGGATGTGGTTTGCCAACGTGTTGTTGAAGATTTTTTCATCTATGTTTGTCAGTGATATTGGCCTGTAGTTTTGTTTGTTGTGTCTTTATCTGGCTTTGAAATTTGGATGATGCTGGCTTCAAAAAAAGAGTTTGGGAGTTTTCCCTCTTCTTGGATTTTTTGGAATAGTCAGAGAAGGACCATGGTTAAATCTTCCTTAATGTTTTTCAAAATTCTCCTGTGAAACCAACTTGTTAGGTATTTTGTGTGCTGGGAGTTTTTTGATTACTGCTTTGATTTCACCAGCTGTTCTCTTCAGGCTTTCCTTTTCTTCTTCATTCAGTGTTGGAAGGTCATATTTTTTTCTAGAAATGTGTTGACTTCACCCAGGTTTTCAAATCTCTTGGCATATAATTGTTCATAGTAATTTCTTACAATCCTTTGTATTTCTGTGGTATCAAATGTCATTTTCCCTATTTCATTTCTGATATTATTTATTTGAGTCCTCACCCTTTTTCATTTGATGACTTTTCTTACGGGCTTGTTAATTTTGTTTATCTTCTCAAAGTATGAACTCCTGGATTTTATTGATCCTTTGAATTATTATTTTAGTCTCTATGTCATTGAAATCTGCTCTAATCTTGATTATTTCCTTCCTTCTACTCATTCTTGGCTTTGTTGTTTTTTCTCCAGTTCTTGTACATATAGTCTTATGTTGTTTATTTGGAATATTTCCATATTTTTGAGGTAGGACTGCATTGCTATGAAATTCCCTCTCAGGACTGCATTTCATGTGTCCCATAGATTTTGGACTGTTGTGTGTTCATTTTCATTTGTTTCAAAAAACTTTTGATTTCTTCTCTTATCTAATTATTGACCCATTCATTGTTTAATAGTATGCTATTCAGACTCCAAGAGTTTGAAAGTTTTTGAGTTTTTTCTTCAAGGTTGGTTTCTAATTTCAAGTCCTTGTGATCCATAAAATGCTTTTTATGATTTCAAATTTCTTGAATTCGTTGAGGTTTGTTTTGTGTCATATAATGTGTTCTGTCTCTGAAAAAACTCAAATGTGAATTTGAAACAAATATTTTGTCTTTTTGGGATGGAAGGTTCTGCATATATCAGTTAAGTCTATATGACCTAATGCATCATTCAGTTCCACACTATCCTTTTAGATACTTTGGAAGATGTATCCACTGTTGACACTGGGGTGATAAAATCCCCCATGATCAGGTTTTTTTTTTTCTTTTTGTATCTTTCTTGAAGTCCTCCAAGCCTTCCTTATGTATTTGGTACTCCTAAATTGGATGCATATATGTTTACAATGTTTATGTGTTCCAGATGGATTCTTCCTTTAAATATAATGAAGTGCCCTTCTGGGTCTCTTTTTATGGCTTTAGTTTTGAAATCTATTTAGTCTGATGTAAGTATTACTACCCAGCCTTTTTTTTTCCTTGTTCATTATCTTGGAATATTTTTTCCATCACTTTACTTTCTATCTGTGTAGCTGTTTTGTTCTAAGGTGTGTCTCTTGTAGCAGCATATGTGTGGGTCATGTTTTCTTATCCATTCAGCTACTCTATGTATTTTATTGGAGCATTTAACCCACATACACTTAAAGTTATTACTGATAGGTGCATATTCATTTTTCCCTTTTATACCTGTCCTCTGTTGTCTCTCACTCTTTTCCTTCATTTTCTTATAACAGTTCCATTAGCATATCTTGCAATGCTGGTTTGGTGGAAGTGTATTCTTGTGTTCTTTTATATGGCAGACTCCTTATTTTGCATTCTGTTTTAATTGAGATTCTTGCTGGGTTGAGTAGTCTTGGATGCAGGACTTTGTTTTTCATTACTTGGAATATTTCTGGCCATTCCCTTCTGGCTTGTAGTGTTTCTGTTGAAAAGTCAGCTGCTGGCCTTATTGGGTTCCCTTGTATGTTACTTCCTGTTCCCTCTTTCTGCCTTTAAAATTCTCTCTTTGTCTTTGATATTTGTCATTTTAATTCTAATTTGTCTTGAAGTGTGCATTTTTGGGTTCTCTTGAATGGGACCCTCTGTGTTTTCTGGGCTCGAGTGACTTTTTTTCTCCTCAAATTAAGGAAGTTTTCCATCATTACTTTTTCAAACAGGTTCTCTATCCCTTGCTCTTCTCTTCCTTTTGGTATACTTATTATACTGATATTATTACATTTTAGGTTGTTGTGCACTTCCCTTAACACCTCTTTCTTCTTTTTGAGTCTTTTTTCATTTATTGCTCTTTCTGGGATTTATTTTGTATCCTGTCTTTCAGTTTGCAGATTAGTTCCTCTGCTCATTCTAGCCTACTTTTGATTCCTTCTTCTGTGTTCTTTCATTTGGAAATTGCATTCTCCGTTTCTTCTTCCCTCTTGCTGATAGTTTCTATGTGCCTTTTGATGCTGATACTCTTTGCAGTGCTTTTTTCATAGTCTCCTTGTACTTTTTTGTAATTCTCCCTGAGTTCACTGACCTCCTTCAGCTTTGTTATAACCTTTGCTTTGAATTCAATATCTGATAGTTTACCTGTCTCTATTTCATTTGGAACTCCTTCTGGTTTCCTCCATTTGTTTTGATTGGGGATTGTTTCTTTGTCTTTCCATTATTTCTGAGACTCTTCATTTTTGCTTCTGTTTCTTTAATTGATCAGTTTTGACCTCCTAACATTGTGCTATGAACTTCTATGGTAGGAGACATGTGAGATTCAATGGTGCTGTCTCCTTGATCTCCTGAACTTGATGGTTTTCAGATGCCTTTTATGTCTTTTATGTTGGCACTTCGGAAGAAATTTGGTTTTGATTGTTGTTGGATCTTTTTTTTTTTGGCCCATCCTTCCATCTGGTTAGCAGAGGATTAGTCTGAGCACTATGTATTATATGTTTTTGTGCTGCCAGAACAGAACCAGAGATCCCAGGGAAAAACCCACATCTGCAAAAATAACTCCCAGCTTAAATTTCATTCTCAAGAGCAAATGAACTGGTATTAATAATGTTGTAAAGAGATTAAGACTATTATAAGAAAGAAGACAAATAAAGTATTAGTATAAAGTCTAATGACTTCTTATTCACAAACTTGATGGACTGAACTGAACTTTAAGAACCTATGTAGTAAATAAGATATCACAAATCATTGAAAAGTTCAGCATGGTTAATGTCAGTAGCCTCTAGTATTTACCACTGCTTTATTTTTTCTTTCTGGATCCACCTACCATGATGTCAGATGTGTCAGATTTTGACTCTCTCTGACCTTAGGCAGTCTGAGACTTCCAGGAATCTACCGTCGGTGGCTCTCTCTTTCAGTTAATCTAGTACTCTGCCCTCAGCAATCACTCTGCTTCCCCTTTAGCCCAGGATCTACTATCTATGATTGCTGCAGTGTACTCAGAATTTGGGCCTGCCTACCACCAAGACATGGGCTGAGCCTGTTTGGGGTGTGGCAAGTGTGTCAGTTCTCATGGATGTCACTCAGAGGAGTGGTCTTTGTGAGCAAGGTGATTGCTGTCATATCAGGGAGGAGTCAGCACTGGGACCCCCAGCTACTCCTTCGGTTCGCTCCTCAATGACACCTTCTCCAGTCTGTCCTCAAGTGTTTCTATACCACTATGCATTACTTTTAGCCAGGGATCTACTACTTGTGACTGCTGCTCTGTACTCATCACTCAGGCCTGCATAACACACGGCTGGGGCAGAGCCTCCTGATGGCTGAGCTACTCTGTCTTTTCATGCTGCTGCCGCTCAGGAGAATATTCTTCCTGAGCAAGATGGCAGCTGTGGAATGGGAGGGTGAGTCAGCACTGGGACACCACGGTCTGCTTTTTCAGTTCTTTCCTCAAAGCCTCCTTCTCCAGTCTGTTCTCAGATGGCTCCAGCCCACTCTGCCCCCTCCTCTACCAGAGACCAGGGTTGGTAGCTGCAAATAAAAATTGATGTGTTGGCCATTTAAATGGATCTTTATACCTCCAGCCACCTGTTTTGGCAGAGGGCACTGTGTCGCTTTTCACAGCTGTCTGTTATCTGCATGCTTTTTGGGTTTTGGTGCTATAGGCTGGAGATTCCCACTTATGGTTTAGACCCTGCTCTTCTCAGGGGGATTTAATTGGCTGTTACAGTATTGCTCTTGTGCTATTACCCGTGGCCACCTAGTCCACCTACTCGAGTCCCTACTGCGTTCCTTATGTTAGGTTTTGCTAAAGCCCATTCCTCTCTGTGTCCAACATTTTAAGGCTCTTCTCTTGTTATTGTTCAGTTGTTTTCCAGGCGGTTTCTCTACAATTTTGTTGTAAATACAAATTGATCCTGGGAGGAAGTCAGTGTTACTTCCACTCACTGATCTTCCATCTTGCAGTCTCCTTGATTTTCTGTTTTGTTTTTTTTTTTAATTTAAATAATGAAGGCTTCACTAGTTTTTATTTTTTCATAGTTCTTTAAAGGAATACTATTTCAGCCCTGGCTCCTGTGGCTCAGCAGACTGAGTGCCAGCCTGCAACCCAAATGTTCACTGGTTCAATTCCCAGTCAGGGCACATGCCTGTGTTGCAGGCCAATCCCCCAGTAGGGGGTGTGTTTGAGAGTCAGCCACACATTGATGCTTCTGTTCCTCTTTTTCTCCCTTACTTCCCCTCTGTCTAAAAATAAATGAATAAAATATCAAAATAATGCTATTTCAACTTGTATATTCAGGGTTTGGTCAAATGTTTACTTAAACTTTTAGTATTACTTTCTGGTTTTATTGCACTATAGTCAAAGGATGTGACCTCAAAATATTTATTTCTTAATTTTTGTATACTTTATTTGCAATTTATAACATAATTATTTTTTAGAAAAACTTTATGAAAACTTATCCAAAAGAAAGTAATTCTTAAATGATGGTCACTGGAGTGGAAACATAGTTTTTTTAGATTTTCTTTAATCCTAACATAAAAACAAACAAAAACAAATACCAATATTAAATATCCATTATTGATATTACAAATTAAATGTGTGAAAATGTTTCCCCTTTAACTCTGAAGTACAGGTTGTTAATAACAAAACCACCAATTAACTTGAAAACTTATTATCAGTAACATGTGGGAAGTAGAAGAAAGAAACATGATGTCTTCCAACAAACTTGAGAATAGGAAAATTCAAGCACAACCAGTAAGCATTAACTGAGTATTTCAGTGGGCCATTTTAAAATTAGAAGTTTAAATTGCCAGGAATTTTTCCTATTCTAATAATGGTTATGTGCAAGAATCCTATGGTAATTTCTGAGGAGCTAAAGCAATCTAACCCTATGTACACTCAGTCTAATGAATAAAGGACCTGGGCAGATGTTTTTCCTAGGAGGAGATACAGAGGGCCCAGAGATATTTGAATGGATGCTCAGCATCGCAAGCCATCAGAGAAATTCAGATTAAAACCAACATGAGGTACCACCTCACACCAGTCAGAATGACCTTCATAAACAGATCAACAAAAAACAGGTGCTGGCGAGGCTGTGGAGAAAAGGGAACCCTAGTACACTGTTGGTGGGAATGCAGACTGGTGCAGCCACTGTGGAAGGCAGTGTAGAATTTCCTCAAAAAGCTGAAAATGGAACTGCCTTTTGATCCAGTGATTCCCCTGCTGGGACTACACCCTAAGAATACCAAAACACCAATACAAAAGAACTGATGCACCCCAATGTTCATAGCCACACAATTTACAGTAGCCAAGTGTTGGAAGCAACCTAAATGCCCATCAGTAGATGATTGGATCAAAACATCATGGTACATATACACAATGGAATACTATGCAGCAGAAAAAAAAAGAACTACTAAACTTCACGACAGCATGGATGGAACTGGAGAGCATTATGCTAAGCGAAATAAGCCAGGGAGCGAAAAACAAATACCATATGATCTCACCTATAAGTGGAACCTAACCAACAATACAAAGATGCAAGGAAAATAAGACCAGCAACACTGAAAGGAAAAGAAATCAGCAGAGACAAGAGGGAAGGAGGGAGAGGGGGTGGGGAAAAGAAGGGACGGGGAAAGTGAAGGAACATATAGCAAGGACTCATGGACAAAACCAAAGGGAAAGAGCTGAGGGAGGGAAGGAGGGAGGGGGCAAGGGAAAGTGGTGGGAGGTAGGCAGAGACAAATTTATTTGAAAAAATAAAAAAAAATAAAAAAAAAACAAAAGAATCAAAACTGGTTAATTTTTGTGCAGCCATTTTAATATTGAAGATGGAAGAAAATAAGCAACATTTTTGGTGTATTATGCTTTATCATTTCAAGAATGGTAAAAACGCAACTGAAATGCAAAAAAAAAAAATTGTGCTGTGCATGGAGCAGGTGCTGTGACTGATCAAATATGTCAAAAGTGGTTTGCAAAGTTTCTTGGTACTATGGACATATTGGCCAAATGATTCTTTGCTGTCAGGCCATCTAATGCATTGGAAGGTGTTTAGCAGCTCCCCTGGCCTCCACCTGCTAGAAGCCAATAGCGGGAGAAAGTTGGCATCCTCGAAACATCCAAATCAATATAGTAGTTGGTGAAAATGAAAAAAATATATAAAAAATAGAAAATAAACTGATGAATAAAATAGAAAAAATGGCATGGATACATGGAACACACTGACAGCTACCCAAAGGGAGTTTGGAGGGAGCACAAATGAAAAAAAGTGAAGATATTAGTCAAAGAACATATATGCATAACCCATGGACACTTACAATGGTATGGTGAGGGCCAAAGGGAGCGGAGGGTGGGGTTTGGGTAGAGGTTGTCAATGGAAGAAACAGGGGGGAATCTGTAATAGTGTCAACTATATAGTCAAAAAAATAAATAAATTAATTAAATAAACAGGTCTGCCGTATCTCCCTTGCATGGAGGGCTCTGTACTGAGGAGAAACTGCTGGAAATGAAACTAAAATTCAGCCAGAAAAGCATATCAAAGACAAAGAAAAGAGAAAGTCCAAATAAAATGGAAGAGAGTAATAAAGGCATTCAGTGTTTGAAGAGAAGCAACCATGTTTTTAGCACTTCCCCAAAACAACAAAAAAAGTGATAATGCAATGTTGGAGAATCCATTGTGAACCATGTCTTCTTCTATAGGTTTAGGAAAACTATATTCACATAAGAAACAAGAAAGTGATAATATCAAATACTATACAACATATTAATAAAATAGAAAAATAATATATAATATTTATATTACTGCACCATCTTCTGGATGATGTAGACCCCAGGTACCTGTACCACAAGGCTAGCACAGAAATAAGGGTGTTGTTACATTCATGCAAGTGGATTATATTTTCATGAGGTTAATCTTTGATATATGACTTACATGATAATGGTGTATAATCTTTTGTTTATTCATATCTTAACACTTATTTCAATGGTCATTTACAATGTATCTTTCAAGGGGTACTATACACAAAATAACAAAAAATTAACATTTTATTTTTTATTTTATTTTTAAAAGTTTTTTTTTTATTTTTAGAGAGGAGGTGGGAAGGAGAAAGAGGAGAGAAACATCAATGTGTGGTTGCATCTCACATGACCCTCTAATGGGGACCTGGCCCACAACCCAGGTGTATGCCCTACACAAGGAATTGAACCGGTGACCCTTTAGTTTGTAGGCTGGTGCTGAATGCACTTAGCCATACTATCTAGGACATTAAGTAACTTTAATATGATTATTTAAAGAACAGGGGAAATAGAATTTAAGATAATGATTTTGTATTAAAGGCGAGAAGATTAGCAATTCCCTTGACACGGATGGAAGAGTCCATCAGGCCATAGAACATGCAGGCAGTTCAGGTATTGCCACCTACTTCATGACATCTCATCGCTGTTTTAAATATGATAAATTAACTGATTTAAGAACAAAAGATACAGAGAGGAATATAGGTACAAAAAGAAAAATGGCAATAAATAAGTACCTATCAAAAATAACCTTAAATGTAAATAGATTAAATGCCCTAATCAAAAGATTTAGAGTAGCTAAATGGGTAAGAAACATGACCCACCTATATGTTATCTACAAGACTCCCACCTCAGAACAAAAGGTTTATACAGGCTAAAATATGAAGGGATGGGAAAAAATCCCATGCAAATGGACAAAAAATGAAAAGCTGGGGTGACAATATTTATATCAGACAAAATAGACTTCAAAACACAGGCCATAAGAAGAGACGAAGGCAGTGACTACATGATACTTAACGGAGTAGTCCAACAAGAAAGGAACATAACCGTTGTAAACATATACACACCCAATATTGGAGCACCCAAATATATAAAGAAAATCCTGGAGGATTTTAAGAAAGATATTGACAGCAATAAATTCAATGTAGGGGATTTTAACACCCCACTTTCAACAATGTACAGATATTCCAGACAAAAGAATCAACAAGGATATTGTTCCATTAAATGACACTCTAGATCAAATGGATTTAATTGGTAATCACAGTATATTTCACGTAAAAAAGAAAAATAAATATTCTTTTCAAATGCACCTGGATCGTTTTCAAAGTTAGACCATATAGTAGGATACAAAACAAACCTTAACAAATTCAAGAAATTTAAAATTATACCCAGCATCTTCTCCAATCACAATGGCTTGAAATAGAAACCAACTTCAAGAAAAGAACTCAAAAATGCTCAAATATGTAGAGACTGAATAATACACTATTAAAAAATTGAATGGGTTAAGAATGAAATCAAGGAATAAATCAAAAAGTATCAGAAAATAGATGAAAATAAACATACAACAACCAAAAACTTATGGGACAGAGAAAAAGCAGGCTTGAGTTGGAAGTTCGCAGCATTACAGGCTTACCTGAAGAAAGAAAGATCTAAAATAAACAAACTAACCTTATATCTATAAGAGCTAGAGGAACACCAATAAACAAACCCCAGCATGAGAAGAATGAAAGAAATAATCAAGATCATATTGAATTAAATGACATAGAAAAAAAGGGAAAAAGAAAAAAAAATCAATTAAACAGATCAGTGAATCCAGAAGCTGTTTCTTTGAAAAGATAAAATTGAGATACCTGGGGTCGGAAAGATGGCGGAGGAGTGAATGGGAGTCACGCTGACCTCCTCCCAAAACCAAACTGCAATTGCAACTAAATAATGGACTAATCACCTGGAAAACAGTGGAGCGATAGCGGGAGAGGAACCTTGGTGCCGCGGACAGTGGATTCAACTCTCATACATCCCAACGGGTGAGAATTGCGGTGGAGGCTCGAGAGGGTGGGCTGGGTGCCCATGGGCACTGGCACCAGAGGGACATTGAAAGGGCCAGTTAGCTCCCCCCGAGAAGAATGGGGTCTGAATCATAAACAGGAACCCCTAAAATACAGCAGGTAAAGCCGAGAAAATACAGAGAAAACGCAACCCCAAAAAGCTTAGGGGCGCTCTCTGCCAGACACAGGTGGCTGGGGATACAAAAAGATGTTTAAAGGGCGAACACAAAAATTGCAGTGGCAGCCACCCTCCTTGATCTCTGGGTAGAGGCGGCAGCAGGGTGGGCTGGTGCCTGGGAAAAGACTGGTGAGGAAAACTTTGTGAAGAGAACTGACATGGCGGCCGGCGGAACCCTGGTGATAACGCACCTCCCACTTTGCAGCTACCATCTCTCTCAGGCACGAGGGAGTCAATTAACCTGCCTTTTGTGCGCTCCACACACAGCTTGTATGCGTGTGAGCTGTGGAGCTGAGTGCAGACTGGCTTGAAGAGCCTTGAGGAGAGACTGGAGACAGAGGCGTTGGGAAAAGAACGGGAGGAGGAACTGGGGAGTCCCGACTCCCTCCCTGTTCGGTAGTCTCCTTTGTGGGCTGGAAAGGCGCGACCCCAAAGAGGCAGAAGCAGGGCGCGCATGAACCAGACTACCTGCGATTGAAACGCAGTCCGCACAGGGGTTGGATCCTTGGCCGAAGGGATCACAGTACCGCCCAGAGGCCCCGGAGGGGAGACTAGAAAGGAAGGCAATGGGGAAAGAATGGGAGGAGGAACCGGGGAGTCCTGACTACTTCTCCTTGCCGTAGTCTCCATTATGCAGGAAGAGGACACACCCCCAAAGAGCCAAAACCTGAAAAGTAAACATAGACACCCCCAAAACACCCAGAGCAGGCGCGCACACTTGCGCAGAGTGACCGGCGACGGTTGGAGAGCGTGTGTGTGACCCACGAGGGCTGGCGAACGCTTGCACATGCCGTCAAGGCCTCACACACACTGGCACCCATACGATCTGCTAGGGAATGCGCAGAAGGGCAAGAACAGGCTTAAATTAACCTGCCCGCCGCGATTGCGGAGCAGCCCACAAAATAAGTAGAGCTGCCCAGAGTCCGTGGAGGAGAGACCAGAAGCAGGATTAACCGGAGAGTCCTAGAGCTGATTTCCTCCCATTTCCGTAGTCCCCATTTGGCGAGGGCAAGTAACGCACCCAAAGAGCCAAAAGCGGGGAAAATACACAATAGAAAACCCTAAACTGACCAGTGCCGCTAAGCTCGCGTGCCAGGGGGGCCAGATGAGTAAGCGAGGTCGCGAATAAGCCCCCTGGTCTGCGGCAACCACATGAGAACCCAGGCAGGTGGGGAACCCTGCCGCGCTGGGAACACACTCAACGAGCCCGCGTGAGAGCGCAGAGAGACCCTAAATAATAGCCCAGCCATGAATGAAGGGTCACAGAGCTGCTCCAAGCAGGAGTCAGACACAGGCATTAGACTCCTGAAAGGCTCAAACAAACAACCCAAGGCCCTATAGGGTCAACAACTGACATCATCAGAGGCAGGCCCAGAAAGAAAAGTAAAGGACAAAAATACTTAACAGACTCTCACAAAAATGGGAAGAAAAAGAAGTTCCCCTCAAATGAGTGGAAAAGGGGACTCCTCACAGAGAGAGATAAATGAAGTAGAGGCAACGGAACTATGAGATACTGAATTCAAAACAATGGTTCTAAGGAAGCTCAATGAGCTCAGCCAGCTTAAAGAGAACTATGAGAAACTGCAGAGAAACTATCAGGATCTTACCGCAAACTATATCAGCCTGGAAAAGGACATAGAAACTATGAAGAAGACACAAGAGGATATGAAGAATACCATTTCTGAACTGAAGAACACAGTAGAAGGAATCCAAAGAAGGCTGGATGAAGCCGGGGATCAAATCAGTGAGATGGAGAACAAGGTAGAAAAAAGCTCCAAGAGAGAACAAGAAATGGAAAAACAGCTCAAAAAGAATGAAGAGGCATTTAGGGAAACTCAGGACAACCCGAAACGCAATAATATCCATATAATAGGGATACCAGAAGGAGAAGAAGAGGAGCAAGGAATAGAGAACCTCCTCGAAAAAGTAATGATGGAAAATTTCCATATTTTGAGGAGAGAAAGGCTCTCATGGATCCAGGAGGCACAGAGGACCCCTCTCAAGAGGTATTCAAGGAGGTCCACTCCAAGACACATCATCATTAAAATGGCAAATGTCAAAGACAATGAGAGAATCCTCAAGGCAGCAAGGGAGAAGGAGAAAGTAACATACAAGGGGGCCCCGATACGCCTAGGAGCTGACTTCTCAACAGAAACACTAGAAGCCAGAGGGGAATGGCAACAATATTCCAAGCTATGAAAAGCAAGGGCTTATAGCCAAGGCTGCTCTACCCAGCTAGGCTCTCCATTAAAATAGAAGGAGAAATACGGAGTTTCCCAGACAAAAGAAGGCTAAAAGAATACATCTCTACCAAATCAGCACTCCAAGATATGTTAAAGGGACTGGTTTAAGCAGATGAAGGAAAAGAATGAGACAGAGAGGAAAACAAGTACAAAGAGAAAAGATGAGTAAGTTTCTATCAGTAATATGTCTCAATGTAAATGGACTAAATGGCCCAATCAAAAGACACATGGTACCTGAATGGATAAGAAATCATGACCCACACATATGCTGCCTACAAGAGACCCACCTCAGAGCAAGAGACCTACACAAATTGAAAGTAAAGGGATGGAAAATAATATTCCAAGCAAATGGGCATGACAAAAAGGCTGGTGTTGCCATACTTGTATCAGACAAAGTATATTTTAAAGCAAAGGCCATAAAGAGAGACCCAGAGGGGCACTTTATCATACTAAAAGGAAGAATCTATCAAGAAGACATCAACATTGTAAACTTATATGCTCCCAATATAGGAGCCCCCAAGTTTATAAGGAAATTGTTGGACGACTTCAAAAAAGATATAGACAGCAATGCACTGATAGTAGGGGATTTCAACATCCCACTCTCAAAAATGGACAGATCTTCCAAACAAAACATTAATAAATATATTGTGGCGCTGAATGACACACTGAATCAAAGAGACTTAACTGACATATATAGAACCTTACATCCCAAAGAAGAAAAATACACATTCTTTTCAAATGTTCATGTCAGTTTTTCAAAGATAGACCACATGATAGGACACAAAGCAAGCCTTAGCAATTCAGGAAAATTGAAATAATACCGTACTCTTTCTCGGACCAGAAGGTCTTGAGTCTCGAAATCAACCTCAAAGAGAAACTTCAAAAACTTGCAAACTCATGGAGACTGAACAGTACACTATTAAACAATGAATGGGTCAATAATGAGATAAGAGAAGAAATCAAAAAATTTCTGGAAACAAATGAAAATGAAGAGATAACTGTCCAAACCTATGGGGCACAGCAAAGTCGGTCCTTAGAGGGAAATTCATAGCAATACAGGTTTACCTAAAAGAGATAGAAACATTTCAAATAAAAGACCTAACACTACAACTTCAAGAACTGGAGAAACAACAACAAATGAATCCCAGAGCAAGTAGAAGGAAGGAAATAGTCAAGATTAGAGCAGAAC